CAGTGTAAAAAATAGTATATAAATATATAAAATATATATGTATGCATAGGTTAGTAATAACATTATCACTCTCTCTCTTTCTCTCTCTATCGCTTTCATATTGGATAGGGAAATTATAATATATAAATATATAAAAAAATGTTTGTATAGGTTAGTGTAAAAATAATAACACACTGTCTCCTTTTCTCTCTCTCACTCTTTTTCTTGTTTTCTCTCTCTTTCCCTCTCTCTTTATCGCTTCCTCTCTCTCTAAATATATATATATATATATATATATATATATATATTTTTTGTGTAAAAATTATATATATATTTTGTGTAAAATAATATATATATATATATATATATATATATATATATATATATATATATATATATATATATATATATATATTTATATATACAGAGAGAGAGAGAGAGAAAGAGAGAGAGAGAGAAGCGTAAAAATAATAACACAAAGACACTCTTTCTTTTTCTCTATTTCTCTCTGTGTCTCTCTCTCTCTCTCATATTGGATAAGGGGATTTTAAAATAAACAAAATATGTATAATATGAAATGCATAGTGTCTGATACATCCTATATTATCAATTGTCTCATTCGATACAGCGTGTTATTTGCTACAAGTATTTACTACTATAGTCAAAACCTTAAGAAACCGGAAGAAGGCTTTCGTATCGATTATTCTATAGAAACAGTTAACAATTGGGGAGTAGTAAAATATTCATGGGCTTACATGAAAGTCTTCTTTTTAAATTTAAGTATCTTCCTCTAATAGCACTCCACCAAAAATTGGCTTCTGATATCGTGTGTCAACATAATAAAATGGGAGCTATTACTTTCGGAGCTTGCTTATCTATCTATCTATCTATCTATCTATCTATCTATCTATCTATCTATCTATCTATCTCAGTCCGTTTATCTCTCTGTATCTCTCTACACCAGTCTGTTCGTCTCTCTCCATCGATCTATACCAGTAAGTTGTATCTATCTATCTATCTATCTATCTATCTATCTATCTATCTATCTCAGTTCATTTACATTATTTACATTGTTCGGACTGTTGTCCTCATTTTTATTGTGATGTTCACGAGGTTTCGGCCGTTGTACGCTTCGGTCTTTTTCAGGTGATTGGAATTTCGAACTGAACCTTTTATTTCATCCACAGGGATAGATTGTTCTAGCTCAACCTCTTCCGGATTTCTTAGTTATCTCCCTTTAACTCAACTCTCCAAGTTTTTTTGTTCACCACAACTTTTGAGTCAAGTCACCGGATTCAGTCAACGCTTGAGGACACATGGCCCAGTGAATAAAAGGGTTGATTGAATACATGCGTGTTTGTGGCTTGTGTACATGTGTGCGTGTGTGTGTTTCTGTGTGCGTATGTGTGTGTCTGTCTGTCTGTCTGTGTGTGTGTGGGTGTGTGTGTGATATTCGATGGAGACTACTCTTCAAGCAATTACTTGTATAAATGCCATGACCTACTTTTCTTTTCTTCTTTAATTTCTATTATGAGAAGAAAAGAAAGCTTCAGACATTCTTCACAACGTTCATCATTTTGGATGACGTTCTGATTTTTTTTAATAACAAAAGTGATGCAACAAAAATATAAACAAGAAGAAAAAGAAAATAAATGAAACAGGCGAGACTATATATCCAAAGCAATATTTAGAAAAAGAATAACATTTTAAATGTCATCATTCTCTCTCCTTCATGCCAAATTTTCTTCACTACTAAAATAATCTTTCTATTGTCATTACAAAAATTTTAATATCTAGGAAATATTTAAACAGAGGACGGAAAATGCGACACCGAAATCAGAAACGCATTGGGATAACGAAAGATGTCTTCTAAAAGCTAAACAAACTAAGAAGAAATAGAAAAAATTCGTTAAAAACAAAGAAAAGAGTGATGAATTATGCCATATCGGTCCTCCAATATGGACAATGCTGGACAATCTCAGTCCGTTCATATCTATCTATCTATCTATCTATCTATCTATCTATTATCTTAGCCAGTGATTCTTATGTAGTATTGGTGCGAACACAAAGAAACCAGATGCTACTGGACAGTTATGATCCTCAAATAGCACCGTGCCCAATGTGATCTGGGCAGAAGAAAATTTATAGACTTGATGGGTCTGGCAACTACAATATTTCTTTTAAAAATTTGATCTGATTTAAGGCTCCCTTGTATGTTTGCTGGTGGAGGAACTATGTCCTGGGTTGGCTTTGCTGGCCCAATGACGTCAGGTTATTGCTAACACAACTTTGACATTTCTTAAGTAACATTGGATTCTTGAACACATCTTGATCCTGATGCTTTCCAATAAAGGAAATTATTCATGGCCATTATTGCCCACGTCCTGAAGGATCACAACACATAGAAGAAGAAAAAGAAGAAGAAGAAGAAGGAGAAGGAGAAGTGGAACAATAATAAAAATAATAATAATAATAATAATAATAATAATAAGAAGAAGAAGAAGAAGAAGAAGAAGAAGAAGAAAAAGAAAATTGTTTTAGTTTTGTTTCTTTAACGGCATATGGGTCATTTAATGCTGAACTTTAATTTTCTTGAGAGCATTAATATTTTCTTTTGCAATAATGTTTTGTTGATAATATCTTTTCCTGTAATATTCCCTGTTCTTCACAAAAATGTATTGCTCGTAATATTTGTTTCCTTGCAAAGATGTACTGCTAGTATTTCTTTTACTATGAAAATGTATTGCTGGCACTATCACTATAAACACGTTTTTCTAAACTTTTATATTGTTTTGGCCCCATTTTAAGGGTTCATTATTTGCTCATAGCTAGGACCCAAACAGGTGCTACTATCTCGGGTCAGAGTGAACCTGGGAACAACAGCAATTAAGAAGTGGTTCCACACTCCTCTAAACTTCCCAATCAGAGGCCTTGCTACTGGATGTAGCTTATCGTAATTCCCAGAACGATAAGAGGAATAGGGAGATGATGATGAAGAAGAATTGTCTTAGAAGTAGTTGTAACAGATTTTATGTTAAGCTTAGATAAATTCTTTTACTTGTAGTTGTGATAGTTGGTAAGTTGGGTTGGTAGATAGAGTAAAGTACCTCGTTTCGTTTATCTCATTTCATTTGTATCATTCACTATACTAATGTTTATCTCTTGCAATCACTCCCAAAATGTTAATCTATAGGAATGGGATATGAAGACAAAGCAAACCACTTCGTTATAAAAGAAAATGAATACTGACGTATGAAATAGTTGTTCTTTGCCGAATAACAACTTGCATTGTCTTGCTGATCAACTTTTCTCTTTTCTCTATTTATACATAGTTTCAGGATTAAACTATGTTCTTGGGACTTGAGTAATGTCAAACTTCTGCATAGCCCACCTTCAAGAAATCCCCAGCCAAGGCCATATATCCTGCATTATCAAACTATGAACAACTCTTTTATGTCTTTCTTGCCATAGATAATATAAAAAATGTGTGGAATATTGCCTATTGCTAGTGTACACATATTTTGCCATTGTTCCTGAAACATTTTTCTATGGAATTGAGATCCTTAGACACGGTCAGGTATTTTATTACAAATGAAAATTATTACTAACATATGAAACAGTTGGTCTTTTGTAGAATGGCAACCTGTATTGTCTTACAGAAAGATCAACTTTTACCTTTCACTTTTATTTATCTGAAGTTTCCGGATCAAGCTGTATTCAAGCATCTCATGGCATTCAGTGATATCAAAGTTCTGTAT